AAGCAGTGGTATCAACGCAGAGTACTACTATAAGCTACAACACAGAGTACAAAAGCAAGCAATAAACAATGAAGAATGAGAAAAACATGTAAAGCACGATACTGAGAAAAACATGTAAAGCGCGATACCCCTGAACTGTATCAGAAGACGAGTGGAACGTTCCCGTTAATGGTGGAGCAGTGGACAACGTAGCTATCGTAGTCTCCTTCTCGTGTTGCTTCCTAGCTTGGTTTCAACCAGTTCTTTGGTCGACATTATATCGAGCTGCTTTGTCTTCTTGCTTGTGAGCTGTGAGAGCTCCTCCATTGTTGATCCAGTGGCGCAGTTTGAGGTGACCGTCGTCGCAGTCCGGATCCATCATAATCTCCCATAACAACTTCCCTTGTGGTTTTCTGTGGTGAATGGTCTATCTGGACTGTTTTCAACCTCTGGGTTGATTTATGTCGTAATGCATCCCAGAGCAGTACAAAATTGCCTTCGTTCGGCTTTTTCGATCCTATTTCGCCGTACCGGATTATGTGCTGCTTTCGTGAGCGCCTTCGAGAGTTTGACATCGTTTCCGTATCTGTGAGCGTCCTCCTGAATCCATCGAAAGCCATGGCGAGCACTCCGAGCGTGTCGTAAAGCGGTATCCTGATGCAGCGCGTACTCCTTTCGTGAGCACCCTGCCATGCGCAAGGGGTAATATGTCTCCACCTTCTTCCTCGCCGTGCTACTCCCTAACATTCTGTGCTATATACCATGTTGCGATTTGCTCACTCAACAAAACCGTTGAGTGCCTTGCCACTGGTATTGAGTCGGGTTTCAGCTTTCCTTGCCGAAGATCTCTTCGTTTTATTCACTGCGCTGTAGTTGGGACTTCGAGTTCTTGAGACCTTTATGTGTCCACTTAATTTCCTATCCGTGCCTAAAGCTCTTGCCTACTACTTTGCTGTGTTTTGCTTCATGTTCCTGGAGGCTCCTAGATTGATACGAATGTAATTCGTATGCTCCAGCCTGTCCAGCCCGACTAACTGGTCGTTTCGCTTTGAGCCTCTTTTGGTTATCCTCCTCTTTGCCCCTGTCTTCTTTGTCCACTCACTATACTGCGTTTGCGTTCTTTTCCCTTCTGTGTTCCTTTGGGTCCCGATGCGACGTTTCCTTGCCATTTAATGCTGTCTCCTTTTGCAAGCTGGTTTCTGTGTTTGACCTTCTTTGAAAAATCGTATGCGATATTCTCCGGTGTCTGCGATACTTAACATGTCCTCCTTTCGCTTCCTCCTCTGGCTGCATAGACGTTCTCAACGCTTGATGCTACCTTACAAATGTTTACACCACCTGCCTTTTCATGTTGCCTCTTGATTTCCTCTCTGGATGGTTTTGAATTCTTTCTCCATTCCCGTATAAAAGCCTCGAAAGGCTGACTCATGCTTTGCATCCAGTCTCGAACTTTGGTGTTGTGGTTTGGAGTCTGAGTTTTTCCACGATCTGTGCATCGCTGTTCTTTCATTATCTGAACAAAAATTCCCTCTTCTCAGAGCGGTATGCTTTGCTGATGATCTCACAGGTAAAAGTGGAAAGTATGTATTCTTGTCGGAATCAGAGTTTGATGATAAAATGATGCCGTTAATGTTGCTGTTGTGGTAATGCGGAATTACTCGCGGCGCGAAGTATAATGCAAATACGGAGAGTTCGTTAAGTACAATGTTTTTCCGATAACTTTTCATTTTCTGCTCTCACTTTTCGTGATCGAGTACGCTTCTCTTGTGCGATGCGCGTAGCATCATCTCGAGAACCGACCGTCACGACCGATGCTGGTGATATAGCCTATAGATCAAGACTTTTGTCATTGACAAGGGACTTGCAAATATTAGCATTTAACTGATTTGTCGCAACGCCTGAATATTGATGAGCATGCCAATTCTGCACAAAAAATTGATAGTCGCTTCATAATGATGCGCCGCAGCTAAAAAGGACACATTTGAGTCATCATTCCAAGCTGCCAAATACTTTAACGTTCGCGGCATGCGGGGAGGACCTTACAATCGCTTGTACGGTCGTCAAAGGTCGATTGTACGGATTAGATAGGGCGCATGAACGGTTACGATTGCCTGCAGCTTGCCCGAGGATGTTCGGCCGCTCGCATGGTTCTGCCGTGGGCTAATGTTGTGTGGGATACCCTTATCATTTTCCATTATGTCCACGTAAAGATCCACACCCTCGGGCAACGGATTGTTCCTCTATTAAAACGTTAGTATTAGGTTTAAAGAAAGTTCCCGGGCACTTGCGAAATTTTTCTTCAAATCGCTGTAACTTCAAGCAGATTGATTCTTTTTTGAAGCTACAAACTTCATTGCGAAGATAATTTTGTCCACAACATATACTTGTCTTGCTGGCTTTTCAGCACCTCACTGCGGTCCACCAGCATGCGCAGAAGGGAAAAAGGTCGTCGCAAAAAGTGGCCTTTTTGTGGAGGATTATCGCACGCACGATGAAAGGTGGAGAGCTCAAATGCTGTAGTTAAATAGAAGTCTGCTGGGCCTGTTATGGGGACCATTCAAGTTTTGCAGGACCACCTGCAAAAAATTTTTTTAGAAAGTTCGAAAAATCGACCATTTTTTGCCCCCAAAAATGCACCATTTTCGCGTAAGTTACTTTGAGGTCTTCTCTTTCTGCATAGGGCGGACCAAATATTTGATTACTGCGAACATTGTTGGGGTAATATCTTACACATCTTTTGGACCCATCATCCATTTGTGACGATTCCTGCAGAAGCGACGCCAGCTGCAAAAAGAGTTGCAGTCAGAGGCAAGTTCCACAGCTTGTAATTTCTGAGCACAAGTCGCAATACTGCAGCTGCGGGTCAGAAGCTAACAGGCTTCTCAATTAGATCACTCATGACTTGGACGGAATTCTTTGAACTGCACAGAAAAAGGGCGCAGGAAGAAAAACTGCGAAATTTTTATGGTTAGAAAGATTTATTTATTAATGTGCAGGTCAAACAGGTCTTGGCAACAAGAACAGTCAGAAGATCTGTTGATAACTCCAGGCTTCCCTCTACTGAACAGTATAAAAAACTTGGTGTCAAAGTCCGACCGAGCGCCGAAAAAATGCTTTTGAAAATGAAATTTCAAAAGTGCCCGGGAACTTTCCTTACAGCCTAATACAACCTCAATAGAGCAAACTAACAACTTCTATAATCAGTTTGATTAGCCTTGAAAGGACCCATTTGAACCTTCTAAGCCGAGATCCGAAGATCGATGTTAGTTCGGAATACCAGCACTAAGGAGACCTGGCCACTACGTTATCGCATAGCAGTGGCGTACCGAGGCGGGGGGGGGGGGCGGGGGGGGGGAGGGCGCGCGCCCCCCCCCCCCCGAGAACGGGTCGCGAAATTTTTGAAAGTTACTTACATGAGTTATAAAAATGTGCAAATGACTTGTTTATTTTTGTAAACAATTAAAATAATTTTTTAAATTTTTTAAAAATTCAAATTAATTTTATAAAAAAAATTTTTCGGGGGCGTGGCTGACGCCACGCCCCCTTTTTTCCAGATTTTAGGGGTTGGGGGCCCGCAAAATTGTTGAGAAGCCCCCCTAAAATTTTTTCGGAGTGCGTGGCTGACGCCACGCACCTTCATTTGAAAATTTTTTTTGCCGCGCCCCCCTCCCCCGAGCCGAAATCCTGGGTACGCCACTGTCGCATAGGTATCATGTGCCCTCACAGCGTGTGATTATTGCGAGGATAATAAGTCATAGTATCGGCCGCTTGCATGCGAGTGGTTCAAAGCGGAGGATAACTGGCCGCTCGGAGCAGATCCATTGTCGGACGATCGCGCGGTGAAATTGCCTACAAGTTGGATGGCACTTTCACTTATTGGCGCACGGAAGCTCCTGACTTGTGTTGCCCATTTGTACGATAGCGCCTAAAGGAGGGTCGCTCGCACGGAGCGAATTCCCAAGTATTTGTCTTTTGAAACTCTGCCTTTACTTGTGAAATAATATAGCTCGGGCCAAGGACGAGAGTACAGAAGAGAAGAGAAGGCAAAAGAAAACTGAGAAAGAAATTCAGTACTACAGCCAGCTCCCTTTCGCGCTTGGACATTGCTTCTCCATCTCGCGAATTTTCCGCAATCAAAACTTCTCGAAATGCCTAAGCGCCTTACGCCGCGCAGTGCGGATCACTACAGAAATAACGTCGTGCCG